AAGTTGCAAAAATTGAAAAGAATCGAAAGTGAAAGCAAAACGACCCAATCGGTACATATATATATATATATATATATATATATATAAGAATTGTTCAAATGTTAGCCGGACCCCTGTCCGGTGAAAGTGATACATGAAGTACACGGCACACAGGCCGGAATTGAATGACAAAAGCTTAAGGCTGAGCCGGATCCTTGGAGGCGATCTCCGAGGCGGGAAGGGGGCGATCTCTCCTTGCTCTTCAATTTGGGCCTCATCCCCTCCGCCTGAGCCGATCTCCGCCTGCATGGCCTCGATCTCTTTCTTGGCCCACTCCTCATAAGGCTCCGGAGCCGGCTGGTTCGACTCTTGGGCCTCAATGGCGAGATCGGCGTATTTGTAGGCAAGTTCCCAGACGGCATATTCCGTTTCCGAATGCACTAGGGGCCAAGCCAATTGCATTCGGTTGGCACAATCTTGCTCATTCTCCTCAATGAGCCGGCTCTGTTCTGCTTCCAACGTGGCTTGGAAGTTCTGACTGGCTGAAGCTGCCTCCTTCTTCAGGTGAACGTTTTCGGTCAACAGCTTGGAATTCTCCTTCCTGGTTCGTTCCAGGAGTTGGAGAGAATCCGACGCCTTCTTCACCTCCACCTCAGCATTCTCCTTCTCCGCTTGGAGATTGTGGAGTTTTGTGTTGACTTCAATGAGGGACTTCTGGAGCGTCTTGATGGAGTCCGCCTGTTGCATGATTATGCCTTTAGTTTTCAATTCATGCATAATCATGGAATATTGGGCAACGTTATGAGCATTGGACGCATCCCGTTTAGCCCGTCTTACCTCCTCTTGCTTGCGGTCGTAAGCTTTCTTGAGCCCTTCCACGCGAAACAAAGACTGCAAAAGCCCAAGCGGTGTTAGAAGGGGTCAGACGGCATAATAACTTAAACACTTGGAAGAGCATATACCTCAGCCAGGCCGGCCATGACCTAGTCGGCATTGAAGGCGTTGATCCCTGGGATCACCTCCTTCTCTTCTCTGGGGATCACTTTCAGCATGGCCCGGGCGTACTGCTGTACATCCGGCCGGCGAGGGGAGAGATCTACACCAGAAAAAGATGGTGAGAAGGCAGCATACTTCCCTCCTATTGACTGCCGACTGCCAGAAGAGTCTTCTGGCTGGAGCTGGGAGTGCGACTTGACCCGCATGGGCTTGCCAAGCAAAGAAGGAGTGAAAGGGTCTATTGTACCTTGTGTTATTGGGAGAGGGTCATGACTGCCCTCAGTCGGTACCGAGGCACCGGATGCCCTAGGCGGCGCCTCGGAGACATCCGACTGCCTGGAAGTAAGATAAAATCCTAGGCCTGTGTTTTTGACAGATTTGCCCCCAACCGTCAGCCGGCTAGGGATTGTGTGGGAGGAAGTCTTCCTCGCCTTATTTTGAGTAGCCGGCTCCTCCCCCGGCCAGGGCCTTATTAACTTCGTAAGGGAGCAAGGCACCTTGGTCCCATCCTGAAATAGCGCGCAAAAGGTCAGCCGGCAAGAAGTCAAGCGGGAATTGAAGGAAAAATAAAGGAAAAGCAGTATACCTTATTTTTTGCCGCCTGGGCGGCAAGTTTCTTCTCCACATTTTCTTTGCGGATTTCCTTGGCAGATTTAGCCAGTGTCTTTTCTGCTTACAACATGGCTAAGGCTCGCACTACAAAAATAACCCATCCGGTTAGAAGAGAGTTGAGAAAGCATATCATGTACAAACGGAAAAACAGGATCAAGCACTAGTGCAACCTACGTTTTTCAAACTGAGTGCTAAGTTTACAGGCGGACAAAGACGCCTCATCACGAAGGAATTCGTGCTTTGGTACCCAATTCTTGGGTACGCTTATTAACTCTCCATTAGAGAGGGTGGTTGTGGTTTGTTCAAAAAACCCCACCTCAATTATCCTCTTGTAGTCCTCATCCGGGACTCGAGGCTTTTTGCATTTGTGCCCCAAGAGGTCTGGCTTCCGGATGTATATCCTATACTCCCGGTTTTCCTCCTTGGTGGGAGCAGAAACCAGATAAAACCTATTTTTCCAGTCCGACCACTTGGACGGTTTGTCTAGGGTCATCAGGTATTGAGGGTAGGTGGTCAATGTATACCAGGCTCTCCACCCGCCTGGGCTTCTACTCAGATAGTGCATGTGGGCAAAGGCCTCCCAGCCGGGGTTGATGTTCTGCATCTCGCAGGCGGAGATACAACCTAAGATGGTAACCCATGAATTAGGGGTTAACTGCCAAATACCCAGACCATACCCTCAAAGAATGGCCTTTATGGTGTTGTGCAAAGGGAAGCGGAGACCGGCTAGAAACGCCGCCTCGTAACAACCGAAATACCCGTTTGAATTTGGCTGATCATCTTCCCAGACTATAGTGCCCATCTCAGGCGACATAATTATTCTCCAATCTTCTCCAAGAGGACGTATTTTGACAAAGTCCTCTAAGTTTCTGGCCATGCTGGACCGATCTCTTGCAGAGACGGCGATAAGGAAAGGGTCGCCCTTATTGTTCCATGTGGGCCTCTCCTCCTCCTCGCTATCCGCATCCGGTGTAAGAAGGCTGCTGCTACTGCCGCTTTGCTCTGAACCGGATGAGGAGGCGGTCTCTTCACTGCTCGCGTTCTCTGAAGGGTTTTCCTGTTCAACCATGGAGGGAGAGGCGACATCTTCACCACCTTCCTAACCCAACCCCAGTATTCCATCAATGGAAGTGCTTGGGGTGCCATGCGGAGATCCCCTTGTCATCTCAGCCTGATTAGAGTCAGGCGGCAATTCTTCAGAGGTTTCCCCTCTGTACTATGGATCAACAGATGTTTTCCTAGTTCGAGCCATTGCATCCTGCATAGAGACAGAGACGGTCGGTTTTGGAGATGAACAAGGAGAGTCCCAGTACCCAAAGGCGGCACCCCCGGTCCTAGACTCAGCCGTACCAGGAGACCGGCTGACCTCTAAATCGTGGTGTGTCGTGTGTGTGTTGGGTGAACCCATTATTCTACCAATATATACAGCCGGGAAAATTAAAATAAAAAAATAAAAAAAAATAACCTCCAAAAAAGCAAGGAACAAAGGCGTTACCTTGTAGTTGAAAGACGATGTTGGTGAAAGAAGTTGAGATTGTTGACCAAAGATACCCCAGACGGTATCACTTTGAACAGACTACAAATTGGCAAAAGAAAGCGAGGTTAATTACCAATGTTGCCCAAAGATACCACAGGCAGAAGAAGCCGGCTGTGGTAGACATACTGAACAAGTAGTCTGGAGTTTTTTATGAAATGTTGTCCAAAGACCCCCCGGACGGTATAAACCGGCTGAGGACTATTATAAGCAACTTATGAAGAAAATTGTACGGAACTACCACGGGCGGCTGAAAGCCGGTTGCGCATTCGTTAAAACAATAAATCAAGAGGCTCTTTGCAGATAACCCAGACTTTATAAGACCGGTTGAGGTGTCAGCAAAGCAGCTTAGAAAGGAATTGCTCGCATATACCCCAGACGGTGTGAGACCGGCTAAGGGAACCGCAAAGCAATTCAAAAGAATTTTATTAAAGATCACCCAGACGGCAAAAAACCGGCTGAGGGTCTATTGAATGCAACTCACAATGAGATTGCTTGAAGATACCCCAGACGGTGAAAAATCGGTTGAGGGTCTATTGAATGCAACTCACAATGAGATTGTTTGAAGATACCCCAGATGGTGAAAACCGGCTGAGGGTCTATTGGGTGCAATTCATCATGAGATTGCTTAAAGAAGCTCCAGACGGCATGAGACCGGCTGTAGGTTTATCAAAAATCAAGATTGAAGAAAATGACAAGGTCAGGCGGATACCTTAGTAAGACGAGCAAAGTAATACTCAACCGGTATCCGGATGAATTGAGGTTGGAGGCTGTTTGCACGAAAAAGCAAGTGGGATCAGGAGCTCTCTTTTCTCTCAAATGATTTCTCTCTCAAGTTTGGCAAAGTGAGGAATGAGAGGAGGGGGGTTCCTATTTATAGGAAATCCCAGAAGGCGAACCGTCACCTTCCCCCCTTCAGTTTCAAATTCAAAAAATGGAGGGAAGGAGGCGAACCGTCGCCCTCCCGCATGGTGACAAGTGTCACAGGTGCCACGTGGCAAGCCACGTCACACTTGTGAGGGGAAAATGATTGGGGTAAAAATTACCCCTGCCGCATGGACCAATGAGGGCCTTACACGTGTCACCCTCATACAGGCCCAAGAGGATCCAATCAGAGGATGCCACGTGGCATTGAACCCCCAATGGGGGAGCGGATTCTCATCTGCTATAAATAGAGGAATCATCCTCATTTATTGGCATTCATAAATACATACACAAATCCCGAGCAATATTAATTGCGGAATCTCCCTGAATCAGAGAGAAATACCTACTTTAATTTCCGCACGCTTACTCATCCGAAATCATACTAACTTGATCTTCGGAGGCGGAACTCCACCCCACCAGAGTTTCGTGGTTTTGCAGGTATAGAAATCAGGCGCTCATACCCAGTATTGTAACTCTCCCTAGGGACTAAAAACACCCGAAACAGAGGTGGTACTGTTTTGAAGTGCATAACGGTGGTCGAACGTGGCGGAAGGTGGTGGTCGACGGTGGGGGTTGGTGGTGGGGGTGGTGGTTGACTGTGGTGGCTTAATCAAGGCAAGGGTGGTGTGCTGGGGCAGAAATTAGAGAAGCAGGGCAAAAATTACAGAACAAAGGCTGCTGGTTGCTGGTGCTGCAGACCAACAGAGAAACGATGTCTGAGACAGCGTTTTATGTGTTTATTAATTTTTTTTTTTCTTTTTATTTTTAAAAAACAGAAATTACAAAAAAATTTTAAAAAAAAAAAAAAGTCAACAACTAAAAACGTTGTCCCAGACAGCGTTTTTAAAACGCTGTCCGAGACAGCGTTTTACCCTAGAAGTTTAGTTTGGTAAATACTTTTGCCATACAACCATTTTGGTATTTATTTTGTCAATTGGGCTTAGTTTGGAGAAAAATTCCTTTGGCTTTTAACGAGGATCTTTCATTGCCAAGACACTCAATTTATGTATACTCTTTATGATTGTAACATTACAATTTTATCTCAAATAAATATAACTTAATTGTTCAAAGATACCAACAGCGTTTCATTGGGCGTCAAAGATATAACAATCTCGACAGTGTTTCAACAATCTAAACAGGGTTTCATTAGGCGTCATTTTTGATAAATGTTAACCGTTTGCAAAAATGCATCAGTGACAGTAGTGGCAGCAACAAGGGAAGCGCTATAAATCGTCTAGTGCTTGAGAGCCTCGAACTCCTCAAAATCAACCTGCCTGCAGTCTAGTCCTGCTGAACCATCACACATCTACTTGTCACGTACACTTCCTGGGAGGCAGATTCCACACAGTCAACATCTTCACATAAAATTTTTATGAAGAAAATCTGAAATGAATCATACTTGAAAGCTAAGTTGATTTTCATGATATAAAGAAAAATTAGACATGAATAATCCCAACTTCTAGCCATTTTCTCAAAATAATCCCAAATTTTTAAAATTTTAAAGTAATCCCATTTTTAAAGGCAACCCTCTCAAAATAATCTAAAGTGTTTATTTTGTTGCTTTTGTTAATACTTTTGGAACTATTTTGTATAACAAAAACTAAAGTTCGAAATATAATTGGGAGATAGCTCTATAAGTTAGGATTATTCTAGAATAATCAAAAGTTGGAATTATTTCTAAAAAATGGCTGAAAGTTGGGATTATTATGTCAATGAATCCAAATATAAATGCACAAGGTTAAATTTTGAACCTAACAGAGCAGCAGCAAGAAAAAAATGATCAACACAAAATAAAATTAGAGTGGGATCACAAGCCAACTGCAAAAGAAACATGAAAGAAATTGAATTTACTAAAAACTTTGCATTAAAAAAAATGGTTGGTCTCGTCATTTGTAAACGCAAAACAAGCATAACTTTTTCAATAAGTTCTCAAATCTGATTGAGTTGAGAATATAATATGTTCAGAAAATTTTTACAAAAAAAAAAAAAAGAAAACTTAGACATAAATAGAAGAAATCAATACACCACTGAACATGCTTAATACCTATGATAACTTCAGATGGGTGTTCAAGAAACTAAAAGCATCGGGTCTGAGCATGCTTTAAGAGAGGAGCATCATACTAAGCACATGATCCACAACATCATCCACAACAAACAAGAAAAAATCAGAAAGGAGGTATAGAAGACGAAGTAAAACTATCTTGGTGCTAAGGTGCACATCACTAATTATTCTGAAACAAGCATTGGCATCATACTACATACATGATTCACAACTAACAAATAAGCATGAGTTTAAGTTCCTCATACGTATCAAGGTCCTCACTAGATTAGCATTTTCACAAAAAAAATATAGCTGAAACATTACAACAAAACAATAGTTATCTATTTGTCTGATTAAGAAAAAAATAATGACTTTCCAGCAAGATCATTTTAGTTTTGGCTAATTGGCTAAGTCTCATGAAAGAAACCAACTCTTGCAGTATCATAACTAATAACCCGCATATAATACCCAATGAACATCCCTCATCAACCAATTGAGGCAGATAATCATCAAACAGAATACTGTAGGCTGAATAATCAATACTAATCAAAAATTCACTTTAAGAAAATGGAAGAAGTAGATCTTATAAGATAAGCAAGAAACTAACCTATCTAGCTTTTACACTAATAATAATCATACAATAGTGTCTCACCAGATGCAATAGTATATAAGTGATATGAACAGCGTGTGTCCCATGTATGTTCAAAAGTATTGGTGAAGTAACTATGTTCATAGATGTTGCATGCGTTTATCCTATTCTATGAATAGATTAGGAGACATTTTATTCTTACCATACCATGGCACCAGAGACTAGTACATGCAGATCAGTAGGTCCCTCATTCTCCACGATCATGTCTTCTTTGGAAGGGTAGTACTCAGCTTTCATCTTGGAAACCTTCAACAAATGAGTTAAAATCATCACTAAAGCATTAAGAAAATAAGCAGCACCGTGAGGAGACAAGACCCCCAATCGTTAATTAAACCCCATGCCAAATTAGGTACTCAAATCTGTTCTTGTAGAAGAAAACAAGTCCAGAGAAGATAGCTGCGGAAGTTCAACCAAAAGACATGGTGATGCATGCAGAAACTAAATGTGGTTGTTTAGGCAGAATATTACATAGCTAGTCATATACTCATATAACATCAAGTCAGCGAATGAAAATTGAAAACCATTGAATGACGAGGAACCAGAATTCCCAGGAAAAAAGTGAGAATAACTCAAAATTTCCTTATGATTTTATGAAAGTGATGCTTTGTAAGCTTCCAATTTGTTGGATGATATGCATTGAGAAAATGAGTGGACAGAGATTTTTATGGAGGCTTTATAATGGTATTCAGGACCTAAACGTTCAAATTCTTGATGCTCAAGACAAAACAGAAAGAGATTTATAGTATATGCTTCACTTAAATACAAAGCACACAGTATACCCTTAAAATGTTCCAGTAAACCTTCATTAAATTGTATTGATGTTATGTAAAAAAAGATGTCTGAAATTAGAGACACAGTCGATGGAAAAGCAAGTCATTTGATACACTGCAGAACAGATACATATGATCAAGCAGTGAATAGAAGAAAAAATATGAAATACTTGATTTGACTGCCTTGGGAAGAGATCTATTGCGAACCTTCAGAAGATCTATTGCGTACCTTCAGAATCAGTTCTGTTTTCAAACACTAGTGAGCAACCATTTGATCTCGTAAGCTTACAGGAAGCCTATTCCTCAGTGCAAAAGTGGAAGCAGCTTGTACTGTAAGAAACAGATGTAATGCAAGTAATGTCATACAAAGGATATGTACTGTAATAAAAAGGAAGAGCGTTGCGCATAGTCATGAAATGTCTAGTTTGGCTAGTCCCACAAACCACTAAGTTTGTCATATTTCCTATCATATATGCACTCAATCCATGATTGAAGAGCATATAAAAAAAACATCAAAGACCATCTCCCACGTATTCACAGGAGAGTTAACCACCATAACCACTTGTGAGTTTATTGACATTAATTAATCATATAATCAGGCATAAAAGAATCAAACAATAGGAGTTTCATATAATAAACTGCGTACAATAACCAAGCAAATAAAATCAAGTAAGCATTGAGCATACAATTGGCTAATTCTAGAATCTTAGATTAAAAGGTCTTACATACCTATTAGATACATTAAGCATACAGTGATAAATTATATTCTAAATATGAGACTGGATATATTAATGAAACAACACACCCCACCGAGAAATTAGTAAGTTAAGCTTCAAATTCCACCTCTAATACTAAAAATGCAGCACAAAACAAATTACACTATATACATCAACATTGTAAGTTCTCTATCACACCTCCGCAATCCAAGCTGGAGGAGGAAAGCACAAACCAGGCAAAGAGTCAAACAAAATATTAAGTCCTAAATCAATATTATACTATTAGTCTCAACCATCAAATTTTGCCATGATAAATTTTCCCACCATCAAATTATGTCAACTCAAACAAGAAACTAAGTTAAACCCAAATGTAACTCTAAGGTCGGCAGGCCACGTTTGAAATAAGCCAAATAACCATTTATCATGATCCCAAAAAAAAAAAAAAACAAAAAAAAAAAAAAAAAAAGGTGAAACATTGTTAAATTTGATTATAAAAATAAATTAAATTAAATTAAAAAAATTTGAATAAAAAATTAAAAAAAAAAGAAATTAAAAGTAAGAAGAACATCTAAAGCTTTTGTGTTATATTGCTGGTGTCAACATTACTGACTGCCAGCCTTTAATAAGGAGAAAGGAGGATTAGGGTCATAAAAAGACAAGGTTATACAAAGAATTTGAAATTCTCTAAATTTAGGGCAATATTTAGGGCAGTTTTCATTGTCAGGGAATTGAAGCAAATATAAATCCAATTCTTGAATTTCCTAAGCAAATGAACTGATCTAAATCTGAAATTTGAAATGAATTTCTTATTCCCAAACAGACCTTACTGAGATTGCAATCAGCTCTGTTTTCTCCTATCCTCCCTAATTAATCAATGAATAAAGCTTCCGTACTTATATAGTTCCAATCCTATAAATTTTACCCAGCAAAAACTACAGCAAATATGAGCTAAAACAAACAAAACCCAAACAAAAACAAGAATTGCAACAGTAAATATATAAATCCAATTATCAAGACATATTTCACCAGAATTCACCCAGAAAAAGATGAGATGAAATAAACAAAACCCAGAAAAATTAAACCCTTAAAAACGAAATTTTAAGGAGAGAGACTAAACTAACAGTGACAATAAAACCGAAAATCCAGAAAATTCAAAGAACAAGAACCCTAACTTGTGCAAATATAATTAGGATAATAAATCAAGCAAAACTCAGTATTACCTGCGATTTGGTTGATGTTTCAACTGAATCAGATTCAAGCTTCAAAAACTCTTGTTACAAGCTTTCCTGAATCTGGCTGCTTCTCTTCCTTGTCTTGTTTGCTTTTGGAGTTAATTGACTTAAGTGACTGAAGTTGGAGTTAATTGACTGAAGCTTCAGTTAACCCCGTCAATAGACTGTCATTGCTCCGTTCGTAATGCTTGTTTTCTTTTCGTTTTCTTAATCTTTTTTAATTTTAAAAAAAAAAAAAGTTCATTATTTTTACAAAAGTGCATAGGATATGTTTACATAACATATTTCCTTTATGTAGGAATTTCCCAGAAGTGATTGGTCTATCAAATCTCTTAACCAAAATAAACTGAACAACCCATATAATACTCTCAGACTGAAATTATGGCTTTGCTACCTTGCTGAAGCAAGTTAGATTGTCCAAGCCTTGGCCTTTGCTTGTATGTAGTGATCACTGGTCAATTGCACACCAGAACTATTGTTTAGCATGAACAGAACCTGAGCAGCGTACTGAAGTTTCTGCCTTAATAAATAAATATAGATACTGTAGCAAAAAAATCAATTTTCATTTTCTTGAACTGCCAATGTTCATACTCCATTCCTATGTACCAGGCCTTATTCAGAGATCTCAGTCTGGATTTCTAAGGTCTACAGTCCTGTCTCTCATAACGTCTTTTAAGTGTTGCACACATGTATTGGCAATCAAAACCTTCAAAGATGGGTAGATATTACACTGTTACAGCTGATTAGCCACAAGCCCACAATTAATCCTGCAAACTAAAAATCAAGCACAGCTCTCAGGAGCTGCCTTCTAATTTTCCATGCAACAGCAAGTTTACTCAAGTAATAAATATATAGATAGAAAAGTCATATGATGAAGATATATACAATGTACAACCTTACTGAGCTTCAACAACTCTTGATGAGCTAATTTGATACAACATATCTGTCTCATGTCTTAAGTGCAACACATGACAGTGCAAAAATATTACCACACAATGCAAAGGGTAGTACTTTTTTGAAAAAGCCATCAATGAGCAAGCAAAATTACCTAATATATTCAATCCTGTTCTAGGTGAATTGGGCAAAATTAATCAGCATTATTGCACACGGTAATCTGCATGCGCTGATCTTGATCTGGTGCATACTGCCTGATAAAAGCCCTTCTCCACCAAATCTCGAATGCCTTTTGAATATTGGGACAATCATCTCCTTTGGTAAGAAATCTATCAAACCAATTCATCAATATGCTCTGCTGCTGTGATATAGGCAGAGTAAGAATAGTTTGGCTAAGACCATCTTCAACAACTTTCTTGTCAACAAACCTACTAGCTCTCTTCATCCATCCAAAGTCCTCATATAGAGGTTCTAACCAAGTGGAAAGAAGAGAATAACGTGTCTCCTTAGGCACCAAAATATGCCCCCTTCCAATGGCAATACATAGCTGTGCTGTAACCCTACTAATCTCATGCCTGTACATAGTCGGGATCTTTGAGTGGAGGGTAGCAAGTTCCTTTTGATCTGCCCACAATTTTACAAACTCATCCCCCATCTTCTTGTCGATTAGGATTTCAACAATCCACTGCATATTGTCGGCTTCACGAGCTATCTCAGCCATTATAGCCCCCCGGTCCTGCCTACTTTCATCCATGCATGTAGCTTCAGACAAGCAAAGGATAAGAGCACTGAGACACCTATGGCAAAGACTATAGAGGGTATCTCTGGAAACATCAATTTTGGGACCATAGTTGCTGTAATCTACAGCATCTTCCTTAAGCAACCGAGAAATAAGAGACTTCATTTCTCTACGAGCTTTATCATCCTTTGCCTGAAGGACACCAGTAAGCATTTTCATGAACATGTCATCAGCTTTTGCAAATGTGGATGGCTCAGTTGATAATCTCTGCAGCACATCTTCACTCACTGAGTCGTGAATGTGAAGCTGATTAAGACATGAAATTATTTTCTCCTCTTCGTCTTCAGACCATGGAACAGCCTCCAAATAATCTAAGCATGACAAAATCCCAGCTTCAAATAAAATGGCTGCAGATACCTGAAAAATAGGTCAACATCCCAACTTATTAATTAGGGCATAACAACAATTACAAGTTTAAAAAAGTAGTCATAGTTTCAAAGATGTTTGCTTTTCGATTCCCACAGAAACAAATGTACAAAATGAAGTCCATAGCCACAACTTTGAGAAGAATCACGATTCAGAAATGATCTCGGTACAACCAAACCATTGTAACTGTTCTTTGATTAGTTCTTCTAGTTGTATTTGATAGTTATTGTTTAAGTCTTGGACTGCCCTTGGCCTTTACAGTGTTTGCACCCTCAGGAAAGCCAATGTACATATAAAATTCCCCTTGTTGTAATTAATAGTGCAGCTCTAACTCTTTCTCTCAGAACATATATCAGATTGTCCTTAATTTTAACATAGGAGTCACCCTTTGCCAGATATAAAAACATGACCAAAAAAAAAAAAGTATGGCCTTCCTTCCAAAATTATTTATCATATCAGTGGCAGCAATCCAAATTTGTTTTGCACGGACTCAGATGCAATTAATCCAGATTAAACTAGCAGTATGTAACAAGCTCCAATTTTCGAATATCTTTCATTTTCGCCTTAACTGAATGTATCCAAGATTAAAATCCAAGGTATTAGGGCCATTAGGGAGATAAAGAGCTTTAATGTAGGTACTTATACAGACCAAAGAATAGATTGTACATATTATATGAGTAAATCATAGAATTACAAATACTAGCCTGACCAAGCAAATTGACAGCCACTTAATGTTAATTGCTAGCCATTGTCACATCAACAAACAAATTTCCCCCAATTTAGCATAAAACAACAATCAGATAAACCCAAAAAAAAATTAATAATAATAAAACAAAAATTATTGAAAGGGAAAGATGAGAAGAAGATAGACCTTAAGCAAGCTCAAGATTCTGGAAACATCTTCACCCATCAATTTCTTCTTCAAATCATCAGAATACATCAAAACAAGAGTTTCAACATAAATTTCAACATCATCACAATCACAAATCTCAACTGAATGAGTAATACCTCCATCTCTCAATTTCTCAGCAAAAAACCTACTTTTTTCTGCCAAAACTTTTCTATGAACATCCATTGAAATCTTGAAACCATCTCTTCCACTTACAGTAAGCTTTACATCACCATCTCCAAAACCCCCCAAATTATTACTACTACAGTTATTGCTATCCGCAAAATTAGGGTTTTTCGACAAAACCCTGGCTAATTTCTCGGTCAATTTTCTGCGATGATTGTCGCTTGACTGTTTGGATTCTCGGAGCTGTTCTTCCGACATCATTTCGAAAAGGGTAGGTCGGGAAAATGCAGGGGGGGGAGAGAGAGAGAGGGTTTTAGAAGGGGAAGAAGAAGGGGAATTTCTGGATTTATTATTAATGGAGGAGAGAGAAATTGATGGGTCTGAAATAAAGCCTTGTTTAATCATGGTTGAAACTTCTCTTGAAGACGCCATTAAAGGGAGGAGAGAGAAAGCTCGAAAGTATTGGTGGGTAGTTAATGAGGAGAATCCAAGGAAGAAGAAAAAAAGTTAAAGATCAGAAATTTATGAATAAAGCTTTAGATCTGTGATTCTTTAATTTCTGTGTGTAATAGCATAGCAAATTGGCAATTCACCTGTGACTGACACTGACATTGAAAGTGGACAGAGTACAGACCAGAGTGAGCAGAGAGATGGCCCCTGTTTTTCACAAGTATTTTTTTTCTAAACTTTTGATTTTCAGTGATAAAGTATAAAACTTTTGATTACCAAAGGTAATTACGAATTAATATTGTTAAGCCAATGATAACATTATAGATAATAAAACATCATTAAACAATTAACTAGGATTAATCTTGGTTAAGTACTAATGTATTAGTACCCTTCAAATTATTTAAAAATAAAATAAAATAATCCAAACCCCTCCCACCCACCCAGCCCACCGCCAACCCCACTCCCCTTGCTGGCACTCAGCTCGGCCCGGCTGATGGCATCTCAAACTCCTCCCTCACTGGAGAACCCACACAACCGACACCCTAATCCCAAAACGAGCACCGAAACCACTTAAGCCAATGCAAACAGGAAAGCTAGCAATCATCACTAATAAAACACAAGTACTTGTAGGACTTTAGATACTATAGGCGGAATTGCATAAATCATATTCATAAGCATCTAATAACCAAGATCATTGCATACACCTATTGAACACATAATTGTACCTTTGAAGCGTGATTCCACGTGTGATCAATCGAGCAAGAACAATGAGGAGATCTGGTACCCCAAACGCGATTCCTCTACTTGGTCCACAGGCACTAATTGAACTTCCACTAATGCTAGTTAGTCGTGATTGAACCCTTCAATCAACCTTCTACGGAGAGGAGAAGAACGTATTAACCACGAACCACCACCACCACCATGCGCCACTAGGGGGGCCAGTGTCCGTAGCGTACGGACAGGGGAGGGGAGAGAGATGGGCGTGTGTGAGAGAGAGAGAGTTTGGGTGTTTTGGTTGCTTGCTTCACAATTCACTATATGGGTGAATTATGACTTGTCTCTCAACCTTAGGCATGGCCTCTATTTATATATCACGTATATAATTAGAGTCCATGTGAAGCCCAAACACTTAACCCAATTCTAACTACACTAGCCCTACTCCTTACATAGCTTGTACTGTCATTAACTCATGAGGCCCATTGTTCAATCTAATACCCTTGTGTGTGACCTCATTGGATCCATTATATTGGGTTTTTGGACTATTAGATTAGCCCAAATATCATTTATCATATCTAGCAATAGACAATGACGATCCAAAAAAATGAACTAATTATCTCCATAATAGTGATCCTTGATATATCTAGTAATTGCACTTGACGAAGACATAATTCCTTTAATCTCCCACTTGTCTGAGACAAGTGTGCAATATTCAAATTTCTTAAGTCAATGTGTGTCGATTTGATAATATGATTGCATCTCATGTCGTGATCATATTAATCTACAAATCTTTTCTTGAAAATTGAGTTAGAATTATAAAAAAAAAATGATTACTATGTAATCCATTTGAGCACGACCATGCATATTCTGAATTCTCTCTCTTCAAAGGGCCAAGACACATCCCTAATTAAATAGATAGACTCAATCCAATCTTTTCACTACTACAAAATGGGTTTTTAGTATCGGAAATTAATTGATACTAAAGAGTGACTTTCCAATACCAAAAATCATTAAGATCGGATATATATTCCAATACTAAACTGATACTAGTACCTCCGTGGCTAATATGTTGGTATCAGTTCTATAATCCGATACTAAAAAGGGTTGCCTTAAGTATCAAATATAGCAATAGTATCAATTAATTAGTAACAGAATATCCGATACAATTATTATATCCAATGGTATCAATGTTCTTCTGTTACTTTACATATACTATGGTGTCGGAAATAACCGATACAAAAGTGTTGGATCATTAGTATCGACTTGGTTTCTGATACTAAACAACCCTATAGTGTCCGAAATTATTTTTACCATAATACTTTCCTATTTTTGACAATTGCTTTAGTAACAGAATTTTCCGATACTAAAGAGAGAAATTTGTAGTGAAAAAATGCATTATTATCATAAAAAATTGATACTTTAGTATCAAATTCTTTAGCATCACTATTAACTCACAGCCCTGTTACGCTAATATATATGATTATTTAAAATTTAATACACAATACAAATACTTGAACAAAAGGAATATTTTTACTATTTATCCATAAGTTCTCATAATAGAGTTTTAGTACTAAAAGCTGGTGCATGCATACTAATATAAAAAAAGTGTTTTTACATCATCACCACCACCATTTAAGATATAAGAAGTACAATAAAAGCATAAAATAATTACAACAAAAGTACAATGCAACTACTTGATTTCCAAAAAAGATCTATGCACCTACATCAACAATCTTCAAGCTTGGATATTCTAATTCATCACTGGGTTTTAGCTGTAACTACAAAAAAAAAATAAAAAAAAATTAAAAAAAATTGAAGCAATACATGTAAGAGAGCAACAAAAGAGAGTAAACATAAGTCGCATAACAAATAGCTCATAAGTAGCACCACAAAACTACAACAATGTGACAACCAAATATGACCCAAAAACCTCAATACATTGACAATTCAAGCTATTTAACAACTTGAAATAACACACTCAATTACATTTGAAACAACAACAGTGTAATCAAAATAGTAGCAAGAGAGCGGCAAAAGAGAGTAGTAACATCATAATATATATATTTGTTTTGAATAATGGAGTAAAAATGGTAAAACATACCTTGATTAGATTGCATGTGGAGAACCAATTTCTTCAATGTCTGCATTTCTTCTTCCAAAGCTTCCCTTTTCCTTTTTTAACTTAACATATGTTCTTCTAGCTCCTTTCTTTTATCAGCTTCTATGGATATTTCTTGCTCCAATTCTAGCCTTTTTTGCTTTTCTATCTCCACTTCTTCTTCCAAGGCTTTTCTTTTCTTCACTTCTTCTTCAACCATATGTATTGCTTCAGTGTTGTGGTACATAGAACTACCTTCAGTTGACACTTTCACACCAATTCCATACGTACGCTTGTACCGCTTATCTTCTCCAACCACAAGCTCAAATATTTTGTCTTGCTCACTAACAATATCACAATCAGGGGCAAGCTTCTCTTTATGGTTTTTCATTGAAGCCTACAAAGGTCTCTACCTAGTTATTATACGGCAAAACATATCTAGAAAGTGTAAAAAGATAAAAAATTAGTATACATACAAGCTTCATCTCAGAAATTGGATCCATTGGTTTCTTTTTTGCATCACCATAAGCATTTTCAAAGACCTTAAAGCGATCAAGTGCTTCACCATCCTCCGCTGTCTAAAAATAAATTTAAGTTACATACTGAAGATGATAATATTGTATTAAGAGTTGGTGTTTAGAATAGTTAAATTTACCATTTCCTCTCTTAATCGAGCCAAACTTTTTGTGCCCAAGTGATGTGCCATTGTAGACTTCATGCGATTGTCAAAATTTCTCTTGCTGCAATCCTAGTTTTTACAAAAGAAACTATAAATATAACATCATATTCAAGAAAATTTTAGTAAACAAACTCAAAGGGATTGACTACATATACCTTTCCTTCGTTTGACTCCCACCTACGCACTATATTTGTCCAATGGTCAGGATCAATTCTATTATTAGGCGGCACCAACAACTCTTCTAAAGATTTTTCTTCTGGTTTATAATGTTTCTTTTTAAGTTTTGTTCTCCATGATCTAAGACAATTATCAATCTTTTCCATGGACCAATCTTTTGGAGAAGTAGGACCTTCAAATGTAAATCTAGTCTACACAACATAATGCAAAGAGAAACGTCAACTAAAAATAAAAACTACAGGAAAAAAAATAACCAATATGTATCAATTTAGTCTTATACCAAAATAATCTTCCAAAGAACTTCTTCTTTTTCCTTGTTCAAAAACTTCCTCCAATCATTCAAATCAAGTGGTACTAATTTTGGGTCTCTAGCAAATAGACCAAGGTAAGATGAGAGTTTTCTGCCATGTTTACCAATTGGTTGTCCATTGATATTTACACTAACAATAGTTTTCTCATTGCTTGAGAGGTTACCACACTTGTTAGGTCCTCTTGGAACTTTCTTCTTCAGTCTCTCTATCACAAAATAATAAGATAGAACAAAATGATTCATTTAACTGAGTGCGATACAATTTCTATATGTTAATAATAAAATAAAATTATAATAAAGATTCAAATACATACCTTGTGAACTGATATCAGGGATTATATGAGTTTCTTCTGTTATATTATTTTCAACATTGGTACCTTCACTTTGTTGCTCATCAAACATATTTTCCTGGTCATTGTCACTATCATCACTTGAACTCTCATCATTCCTTAAAAAAGCATAATCTTCCTTTCGTTGGGAAGAGGATGAGATAGGACCCTTGCCCTTCAACTTGCTCTTTAAACTTATAACATAGCAACCTGATGTATATATACACATTAACACAAGAGAAACTATACAACCGTCTAACAAAAAGTATATGAAGTATTAATCGTCGGATACAACCAAAATTTATCAAAACTAATAAATAAGTCTACCACAAAATAATTTTTAAATTTTAACACATAGTTAAACATGAATTAGAAGTCATAATAAGTGTGATCCTCCTCAATGTCATTATCTTCCATGTATTCCTCCTCAGTATCACTAGTGTCATAATCTTCCATAGAATCCTCGGTATCACTATCATTATCCTCCCTAGTATCACCAATTTCCTCTGTATTATTGTCCTTCTCAATATCACCTTCAGAATAAGACTCCACATAGAAGTTATCAAGATCAACTATTGCCGTTTCCAAAGAATCATTGATGTGAGGCTCACTATCATAATAAGTTCTGATGTCATCCTCATTAAGTGCAACCTCATCCATATCATATACATCCTTGGGTTTTATCTTTGTCACAACATTCCAATTAGGCTCAACTGGATCAGGGGTGTAGAAGACTTGAAAAACTTGAGAAGCTAAAACATAAGGCTCCTTGGTTTTCCACAAGTTTTTAAAATTAACAACGGTAAATCCCAAGTCATCTTCTTTTATTCCTCTCCTATTTCTCATATCCACCCAATCACACTTTAGTAACGTTACTCTTCTTTCTTCGTAATAATTTAATTCTATAATTTCACTTAACATGCCATAATATATCACACCCCCTTCTCCGTAAACACCTATCCCACTATTTTGAGTAGGGGAATTTTTCTCAACATCTTTTGTATGATATTTTAATCCATTATACACAATTTTTTTTTTCATTTTTCTTGCCAAACTACTTGGACCCTTGCTTAGCCACCGAAAATCCTCACTAATTTTCTCTATCTTCCTCTTGGCACAAGCGTTCACCCTATGTCAAAAAAAAAATGTTATGTTGTTTTGATAGATAAATAAATAAAATAAATAACATATACAAGTAGTAATTTCTTGCATTAAACACATACATTAGCTTGAAACCATTTCACAAATGTTTCTTTGTGGAGCTTTTCAAGGTTTGATAGTTGTATATGCAAATGTTGTTGCCTAAGAAGCTTCCTATGCTCTCTACATTATAAAAATAATACTAAATTTAGTAGGTGCTGATTGAGGTTAAAAGAAAATAAAAATAAAAACAGACAAAATTTTGAGCATCTTACTCTAAATATTTTGTAACCTCGTCACAATTGAACAAGACATATTCATGTGCTTGGATCCATTGCTCATGACTCAAATGAATATTCTCCTCATATCCTAAAACTTCACTCATATTTGAAAAGATAGACAACCCTTTGCGTTCGCAATTAGAAGTGGATTTACTATTTCTGGATTCAACTTCTTGCATGTATTGAGCATAGAAGGTCATACATTCATGAGCAATGAATGCCTCAGCTATGGAACCTTCTGGTTTTGCTCTATTATGCACAAAAGATTTTAACTTGAACAAAAACCTGCAATTTCATATTTAAAAAAATAAAAAAGTAAATCACTAAAAGTGTTTTTTATAAGGATATTTATGACTAAAGAATATATTAAATCATACCTCTCAATTGGATACATCCATCGAAATTGGATTGGCAATGGCCACTTCATATGATAAATGACTCACCAATTGTACCATAATGTCAAAGAAAGATGGAGAAAAAAATCCTTTCTAGGCAACAAAGTGTCACAATTACACTCTGCTATAATTTCTCAAAATCATCAAAGGAAGCATCCTTAGAGCACAATTCCTTAAAAAAGTTGCTGACCTCAATCAAGACTGCACTTATTTCTCTAGGCAATGCTTTTCTAACAGCTAAAGGCAGCAATTGTTGCATAATAATGTGATAGTCATGACTTTTTAAGCCAAATACTTTCCCATTCTTCACATCCACACGACGAGCTATATTAGATGCATAGCCGTCAGGGACCTTAACTGATGATAAAACTTTACAAAAAATTTCCTTGGCCTTTGTATCCATATGAAATGGTGCTTTTGGCTTTTCATATTTCTCTCTTACTTTCACAGGATGTTGTTTAGGCCTAATCTTCATGTCTTGAAGATCAAAGCGGGCTGCTAAAGTGTCTCTACTTTTCCCCTCAATATCCAACAGAGTCCCAAGTAGAGATTCACACACATTTTTCTCTATGTGCATGACATTTATGTTGTGCTTAATAAAATGGTCTTTCCAGTACGGCAATATGAAAAATATACTTACCTTCTTCCAGCCAATTCTCTCTTTGCTTTTCTTTTCAGTCCCTTTTCTTTTTCTCTTACGACACTTAGGCATCTTATTATGCTTTCCAAAAGTTACTTTGATCTTTCGCATTTGATAAAGCAAATCAGCCCCTGATTGTAATTCTGGAGGTGGTCTCTCTTCAACTTTAGCATTGAATGCAGCCTTACATCTTCGAAATGGATGATTTTGATCAAGGAGACAACGATGTCCCATGTAACACAACTTCTTACTTATTTTCAGATAATGAAAACATGTATCAACATTACAATAAGGACAAGCCAAGTAACCTTTTGTTTTCCACCCCGAGAGGTTACCATAGGCAGGAAAATCATTTATTGTCCACAACAAAGCAGCACGCAATATGAAAGTATCATTAGTTAATGCATCATAAGTCTCTACACCATTCCATAATTCCATTAGGTCATCAATTAGCAGTTGTAAATAAACATCAATGTCGTTACCAGGAGCCTTAGGACCAGAAATAAGGAGAGACATTATAAAATATTAATCTTTCATGCATAACCAAGGTGGCAAATTATACACCATAAGCACAACAGGCCAAGTACTATGATTAGTCCTCATATTACTAAATGGATTGAAACCATCACTAGCCAAACCAAGTCTAAGGTTTCTAGCATCTCGAGCAAACTCTGGATAATTTTCATCTAAATTCTTCCAAGCTAAGAAATCATCAGGGTGCCTTTGTTTCCCATCTTTACTATGTCCCTTTTTATGCCATCTCATAACTTAGATGTTTTACGTGACATAAAAAGACGTTTCAAACGTGGGATTAGTGGAAAATGTCGAAGCACATTTGTTGGACCACTTTTCTTTCCAATTAATGGATCTTTCCATCTTGATACATCACATACAGTGCATTTTTCATCATTAACTTTCTCTTTCCAGTATAACATGCAATCATTAGGGCATGCATCAATTTTAGTATATCCTAAACCTAAATCAGCCATGATCTTCTTCATTTGGTATAAATTTTTTGGCAAGTTTGATCTATTAGGAAGAACATCATTTAATAATTGCAGCATATGATTGACTGATGTATCACTCCATCGATACAAACATTTCATTTGATGAAGTCGAAGAATGAATGACAAATTTGTGAATTTATCACAACCAGGATATGATTCTGTTTTAGCATCTTGCATAAGCTGGTGAAACTTTTGAACTTCTAAATTCATCTCTCCCTCACCAACTTGTGGAAAGTCATCTAGGTTATTTTTTGAACTAGGAAATCCAAAAGCATCATGAAGTAATCTATACATATCATCAGCCCCATCATTAGACTCCTCATCACTTAAAACTTCATCCTCGACTCTAGATGGTGAAGGTTCTTCCCCATGAAATACCCAAATACTATTAGCATAATTTTTATCAAAACCCACACAAAATAAATGCTCACGAACATCTTTAGGATCAAGATACACAGTGACATCACATCTCTTATATGGACATTTAATTCTCCCATTAAAGGCTGAAGTATTAAGTGAAGATTGTATGAAATTATTTACTCCTTCCCTATATTCAAGACCATTTCTTGGCATATATACCCAACCTTTTCTCGTATCCATAAAATTAATAAGTGACTTCTATCAAATCCTATTCAGGAGCAATATTAAAGTATCTATCAACATAAGTTACTAAAACTCAATATAAATATTCATATAATACAAAAAAAAAAAAAAAATAAATAAATGAATACAATTATTTTCAAACTCGAATTATAACTTTAAAGTAAATAGATAAAATCAATTACACGTAGTTTCAAGTTTAATAATATTGAAAAAACAATCACATGGAAAACACAACACACATACTTTAAAACTAATATTACAACAATAATAATAATGATGATGAAATCATATAAGCACAAATCACCATATAATATATACACATATTACTAATAACTATCATAACAGCAAGAACGAGCAATACCAATAAAAGTACCTTGATAATTTCCCTTTTTGAAAAGCCTAATGTACCTCAAGTTGTCTACATATAGTACTTATTTACCTGTTACATTGTTACAACATCAATGAACATTAAATTAAAATAAAATAGAAGAAAGTTATAACGGTCATCAAAGATGCATAATCTCTTAAACAAATAAACAAAGAAAAATTCATTTGTATTATCAAGAAAGTTTATAAAAAACAATAACAATTTTGTAGATATAAAAAAAAAGAATAGTCCAAATAATAAAGACATGTCATTCTTTCATTCATAATAATAATAATAATAATAATAATAATAATAATAATAATAACCCTTTGTGATGTAGAATATCTTAAGCCTAGCCTGTTATATACACTTGAAGAAAATTTAATGTCACAATTCTTGTGCTTAATTTACCCATAATCATTAAAGTAGTTTTAAATTAGCTACTTTGTTTCAATTTAATTTAGATTTAGTGGCCATTTAAACTACATTATTTTAATTAAAATTTGCTACTCCATATTATCATAAAATCAATAAAAATTCAAGATTATAGATAAAAGGCAAGAACTTCCCAATAGGGAAAAAATGAGAACCCAAATCACCAATACAAAAGTATAGAGACAAATTTTTTAGTGTTGCTCTAAAATTAGTCAAATTTTGAACGGATTTTGTGCCCTTAACAATGAAATTAAAAAGAAAATTACAAAGTAGTAGGCCCATAAGTAAAATTTTCATCCTTTTTTTTTTGTTTTTTGACAGGCAACCATAGGTGATTTATTCATTAATCAAAGCCACCTTGTCAGAATCAATAAGGGGAAAAACAGAAGCAGGACAACCTTTCCTCACTAAGATATAGGGAAAGATTAGCCATGGAGTGTGCCACTTTGTTACATAATCTAGGACAAAAAGAGAAGCAAACAAAATCAAAACAATGAGAAAAATTCAGAATATCTGTTACAACCAATTGAGTAGGAGAATTCTCATGCTTAGAATCATTCAGCAATTCAAACAAATGGAGGCAATCAGAGGAGACCTCCAACTTCCTGAAACCTACATCAAACGCTGCTCTTATGCCTATTAGAGCATAACTCATCGACAAAACCCATCGCACAAATAAACACCGTCGCACAATCTTTCGAATTTTTTTTACTATATAATTTCAGACCAACTAGATTCTTAACAATTTTGACAAAATCCTTTGAAATTTTGATGCCAAATTAATTTTGACCATTTAAATACTCACTAATTTATGACCAAACAAGTTCAGACAAAATCCTTAATTTTTTTACATTTAAATCAACATTTTTTGACAAATTAAGCTCAAAATAAATGAAATTCAAAGATTAGTACTATGAACTTACAAATAATCACCGCTAGAGAATTTCAACGGCAAATCCCAGCGAATCCCACTTGATGCGCAACCATTAGAGAACAATAGGAGGTTCAATTTTGTATTATTTTATAAATGAGCAACAACTTCGAGCGTAATGTGTGATTATTTTTTGTAAATTTGAGTAGATGAGTGATAATTTTTGTAAATTTGAGAAGATTATTTTAGAACCCTAGCTTCGTGAAATAGAATGAGGAGAGATAATAAGAGTGTTCTTGTTGTTTTTACTGATGAAATGAGAAAAGGAAGGACTTTTCTTTTGGGTTTGGTTTTGGTTACATTATCGAGGTGAAATTTTAGATATGAAAATGGTTTCAAATTTCTCTAATATTTTAATGTGGCGCCAACGCCATATTTTTATTTTCTTTTTTGTGAAACCGCCAATTTTTTCTGAGATATGCATAATGTGATTTAGTATCGGAAATTTTTGTTACTATAAGTATCTAATTGTATCAGAATTAATTTTGATGGTAAAAAACTTATTAGTGTCAGATCTTTTTGTTACTATAACTATTTTATTGTATCAAATTAATTTCGATAATAAAATCCTATAGTGTCGGAACATTTCTGATTCTATGTTGTTATTTGTATTAGATCAATATTTTTCCGACACTATAATAAAGTCTAATACTAGCCTATCGTCCAAACCATGGAAGTAGTGTCAGAAAAAAAATAACTGATACTATTGACATTTTTAGTATCAATAATAATTACTGATACTAAAGGCTCGTTTTCTAGTAATGTGTGGCAACCAAAGCTCCCACTCAACTTTTGAAGTAACCAGGAAACACCTTTTATAATCCCCTTTTACGGAATGACGTTTGGATGTACCACAGTTAAATCAATCATTGAATGAAATTAGTGTTCCACTCATGTAAAAGAATCCAATAATATATCCGAAAGCTCTATACTTGAACTTTAAAGTAGGTCAATAGTTCAATCATGCATCATTCATGCATACCCATGTGATTAACTGAGCATCTCTATGCCCCTATAGCCCATGAAACTGCTCTACCCAATCAATCTTACATGCTAGTCTAATCATTGAAATCATTTATGTCCAATTTAATGATTTCGAACTAGGAACTTAAATAATTTATGAATTTAGTTCACCTGTGGGGTTTCATTCATCAAGTCATCAACTTGATGAACCCATCAACTCATCACTATTTTGGACATTTTATTTAATACTAAACCATGATTAAATAAGATTGAAACTTTGTTTCAATTGATAAACATAGGGAAACATGTCTGATGATTTTGCAATTTTGACTCCCTAGCACACAATCAAAACCATCCACCATCATGTTATTTCAAATAAGCCTTTTTGTTCTTTAGGCTATACATTGAAATAGTTTAGTTAGTACAATTCATGAGGCATTCTCATAAACATGAATTTTGCAACCTCTAAATTTTATAATAATATTCATCTCCGTACACTAAGAATCTTCTTTCATCCTTCCACAAGGAACTTAGGAATTTCTAAATTGTATTCCAATGTTACATTGGTTTTCGATTGAAATCCATCACCACATATTCTCTGTAATCCCCCGTATTTTTAAATATTTTATAAATGAAATTTTATTTTATTTATAATATTTATTTGTATTTTTTCCAGAATTTAATTTTCAAATTATTAATTTTGGTCAAAAATTATTTTAGGCTAAATTATTTTATGAACTTATATCCTACAATCCATTATCATAAAAACAAAGCCAACCCATTTGTTTATTTAATTGGCCCATTATTTTCATGAGGCTCAATTCTACCCTTCTCTCCTATAAATACCCCATGAATCCCCAAATTTTTCCCCACACAAAAAGGTTAGTCTTAATTTCTTCCTCCTTTATTTCTTATTATTTTCATAACACTTATGAAATTGATTTTTGGGTTTTGGTTTTTTATTGCTTGAAATTAGTTTATTTAGTATCTAAATCATGTTTTTGATGTTTTAAACTAATAATTTCAAATTATAATTGTTGTTTTAATTTTTAGATTTTGTAATTTTAAACCTAGGGTTTTAATTTAGTTAAAATGGGATTTTAGGATTCTAATGATCAATTAATTTGGGGCTTTTGTTCCTATTGAATTTCTAATGATTAATTAAGCATAAAAACAAATTTTCAGTTTTCCATAATCAACTTTGATCTCCGTTCTTAATTTTTTTTTAATCACGTTTAGATTCTAACTCGTCCGATTTTTACAAAAAATAGTGTTTTTCGTGTGTAAACAACGTTTTAATCAAACTCACTACCCTTTCGTGGCCAAATTCAGCCTCTAAATATGGTTTTCGAGCAATTTTTGATTTTTAATGGATGTTTAATGTTTAAAATAAATTTTTAGATTTTTATAAAGCTCAAAACTTGCTGTAATTTATGAATAAGTATGTATCTTAATGTTTTTATGTAGGAAATTTTAAGAATAATATATAAGCTTTTAATTCTAGCAAAAAGGAAGGTTTTAAAGTGTTGTTTAATTGAATTTTGAAGGTTTAATTGAGTTTTTATGAAACTAATTGAATTCTAATTATATATTTCAAGTTTAGATTGTTGTATTCATACATACTACTATTAAATTAAATTTTTAGATTTTTAATCTTGGTTTTAAAGGTTTTAAATCATGGTTTTATGATGGATTTTTAGGTTTTTAACATACTAACCTACTATATAATGATTATTTCAAGTAGAGATGTCCAAAAGGTAGTTTTATAATTTTAAACTAAATTTCCAGATTATAATCCTTACTTTAAAGTTGTTGGAATTTTATGTTATAAGCTATATTTTCATGATTTTAACATATAGACTTATAGTTGAACTATTGAATTATTAACATTGGCTATTGAGAATAATTTAAAAGCATTATTTCAAAGGTTTAAGGGGTTTTAAAGTAAGTTAGTATTGCTGAAAATTATATTGCTTGGGTATTGATTGAATTATTATTGTTTGGTTTAGGAGAGGACTTTGTAGAAGGCGATTTTTAGTTCCTAAAGTGGCCAACCAATTCGTTTACTCAAGGTACGTACAAGGATACGAAAACCTTGACTCTAGGAGCATGTTTAAGGACTTGGAAAACTTAGAATCATTGTAGCAAACTTGTAGATTGGATGAAATTGTTTGGTAGTGAGTTTGATTGATCACTAATGTGATAATTGGTTTGATTCATGTATGAGAAATGCGTATTGATTTTTCTTGTAAGTATTATTTATGCATTAACTTGCAAGATGAGCTTAGAGGCAAAGGTACGTGATTATGTGGAATGAATTATTTTATTACTCGTTCATGATTATTGAAGTGGAACGAGTAAAGGGAGAATTAAAGTCTTATAAGACGAGGTTGAGGATTGAGGTGCCTTATGCACTTAAGGTGTTTATACACCGAGGTAGTTAAAGGATTCAATACTAAATATTGTTTGTCACTAATAAATCAAGAATTGAATTGGAAATTTGAATTGTTTGAATGATTGATGTATGATTGGTTGTATTGTTTTGCATTCATCAATAAGTTTAAACTTGTAAATCATGTAAAGTGCAATATGGATGAGCAATAAAACTCTGGATTTGTGCACATCTAGAGTATTGACAATCAGGGGTTGGGGTTCACGGGGTATTAGTTGTGTACTTTCTAGAGGCCGTCTGATCTACGAGTCTCTTGTTTACAAATGTTTTTCTAAACTATAAGGAGTTAGATGAGATCTCATACTAGCTATGGCCACGGAGTCGCGCCCGTCTGCCATTGGATGTTTATTAATGTTTCCGAAAGGAGGCATAGGGTTTTTCTTTTATTGATGTTCCGAATTGGAGCATGGGGAGACAACCTAGTCTATTGCTTAATCCAACCAATGAATGAAATGAATTATTGTTAGTAATTAGTGAGGTCTTAGTAATGTTAACAGTTGAGGCGTGTGTGTTTGAGTCAATAATTAGATTGTGTGTGCTGATTGATTTTAGTAACATGTTAGGGATTCTTTGTTATATTACGTAGCTTGTATGTACTCAGCGTTGCTGATTGCGTGCTTATGTGTGTCTTTTTCCTGGTCATGGCCTTCGCCTTTTCAATGACCTTGTAATGATCCAATTTTTACACTTGTAATATTGGGGAGCAGATTAATCACAGGATTTTACATAATCAGAACTTGCGTCAAGGTGGTGGTATTTTAAGTGTGTTGGATATTTCCACAGTATATTTCGTTTCATAAGTTTGGATTTATTTTAACTCTGGTTTGATTTATTTACTACTTTTATTGGGTTTTAAATAAGGGCCTTAATGGTTCCGACTTGTAAGACTAAATTTGGTTTTAATTTTTGGTTTTGAAACTTATTTATAACTGAGTTAGTTTTCCGCTGTTAAATTCTGAACTAGCCTTAAAGTTTGAACACGTGGCGGTAGCACGTCAGTAATTCTCTTGCAAATTGATAAAGGTATTTACAGGTTCTTAAGAGAGAATTATTGGGGTGTTACATTCTCAGAACATTTAAATAAAATAAACGAGCATAATCCATGACATGCATGATGTATCCTTTGCAAAATGCATAAGGAGCATCATTCAAACCCTTAATTTCATCAACTTTTCTCAAAGCATTGAATCTTGTTAAGCAATGTGCTATGTTATATGGGATTGAAACTCTTTCAACATAATGTTGAACCTCAAAAGAATCTTATCTATATAAGTTTCTTAACTAAGCTTAAACATCCTTCGAGACCTATCTCTATAGATCTTGATTCCCAAATGTTCTCATCTTCCTCTTCAAGGTTTGTCATACAAAATGCATTAGCGATCACTTGACCCTTCAAGCAATGAATAGTCGTTCTTTGTACTAGGCCAAGAAGACTGTATAGCTCCCACTAAACATCTTGTATACACAAGACCTTTTCTTCATTTTATGAGAACATCAAACAATTTTGATTAACTCACAAAATTAAGAACACCAACTCCATGATGCTTACTTCAATCCATGAATGGATCTTTTATGCATCCCTAGGATTATTGGATTTTCAAAACTATTATTATTGTATCATATACAAATCTTCTTTCATGAACCATTTCAAGAAAGCATTTTGAAATCCATCTACCAAATCTCATAAGGTAGAAATCACTAAAATATCTTTAATATATCTTAGCAACATGACTAATGTAAAGGTTTCATTGTAGTTCTAGTCATACTATGAATTTGTTGAATCCTTTAACAAGTCTTTGCTTTGGTTAGAAAACATTTTTCTTTCTTTTTTGTTTTGCTTATAATGGGTCTTACCCAATTAGCACTACAAGAAAAAGGCCAGATTCCGATGGAAATCTTCCGACGGGTACAAAATTCTGTCGGAAATGCTATAAATTCCGGCGGATTTATATTCCGGCGGAAATTTGCGACGGAATACAAATCCGTCGGAATATATGGGCATTCCGACGGAATTATTTGTCGGAAAATGTATATTCTGACGGAAATAAAATCCGTCGGAAGTTTCTGACGGAATATTCCGTCGAAACATTAAT